CCTCTACCCTGCTCTCCTCACCTCCCCCCCGCCCCGGAGCGGGCGCTGCAGTACAAGCACCGCTCGCTTTGCCCTAGGGCAGAGACCTTCCAGCCCGGCGGGTCCCGGAGATCCATCTGCATTACCTCGTGTTGCTTCTGAAACAGCGTGACGATGCTCGGGTGTTACGTGCGCTGTCCCGCGTGTCTGACGCTCTGGCTGTATCTGGTTTTGGAGATGTGTACCCTCTGTGCCACGGCTCACACTCACAAAGCCCTGCTTGCCCAGAGGGACTGGCTGTTCGCCTTTTTTAAAGCATCAGGAGATTAATAATGCTTTTTGGTACTTGGTTGCATGCATTATACTGGTCTAGATTGGTGGGAGTAGGAGGGATAGGAGGCATCTGAACGCAGTGTAGCCGCTGGTGTGGTGCTTGCAGAGCTGTGCTAACCAGTGCCAGAGAGAAGCTGCAGCAACGGCTGGATGAGAAATGTGGCGAAATATGTTCTAATGGCCCGTTATGTTTTTAGGTAGCTCCCATTTTTGGAACAGAGATGCCAGGCTAGACAGGGGTCTGTCAGTGCTGGTTTCCAAGTATAATTCTTCTTGCTTGGGAGCGGCATGGGCTAAACTGATGGTTTTTAACATTTATTTTTGTATTGACTTTCTTGGGTACTTTTCAAAAAGCTTTGCAGACCACATATTTAGAACCTACTAGGTTAGAGGCTCTTCAGTATATTTGTCTCACACTTGTTCTTTTCCCTGGAACACTTTCCAAGTTCATAATGATGACTTGGATTGAGGCTGAAGAGGCTGCAGCTACCTGGTACCTTGCAGGGTGCTGTTTTGCAGTGATCCCACTCAGTGAACCTGGGACACTGGGTGGGATGGGGTGACTTTCATTCTGGAATTGCCTCTTAACAGCAGATAGAGCCTAGATAGTTGGCGTAGGTGCAGGGCGTAGGTATGCAGTTGAAGGTTTTAAACGCGCTTCAATGTTTTGTGCTTTTAATGTAACTATTGAAGAGTAAATAAATAAAACTGTATTAAAAACGTAGTGTGTGTAGTCTCTGCTCAGCTGTGAGAGGCTCAGAATATTTTGGTAATGCTAATGAACTTGATTACGAGCTGCCGCTTTCCTTACTGGAGCTTTTTTTCTCTTGAGTTTTTTGTTTGCTTTTTGATATATCCCCTGCTAAGATCTGTAACCTTGTGCTTATAACTTGTTGATGCCCTTTTGCTGCTAATATCTAACATGCTGGCATATGCTAATCAGCAAAAATAATTAGCTGCTTACCAGGATTTATATTTATCTAAGAAATTAACCACTGAGGATTTCTAGTGTTGAAGAAGTTAAGAGCTAGTCAAGGAATATGTTCAAGCCTTTGTTTTCTACAGATTGTAATTAAGTCAGTAATAAACATCCAGAGCAAAAGCTTGTTCCTGTTGGAATATAGATTCATAAAAGTAAATCTGCTCCCTTTCTTTTCTTTAGGACGGCCTTGGCAAGATTTCGGCAAGCTCAGCTTGAGGAAGGAAAAGTTAAGGTATGGTGTAAAAATGGCTTTGTTAGTGCTAGTCAAGAGTGGAATGTGAGCCATGTCCAGAGCTGCTGTCAGAAAGGTCGTATGCCAGATGCAGGTATCCTGTAGGAGTCTGACATTGGTCATCTGGAAAGCGCCTGAAGTACAGACTGTATTTCACAGTGATGCAAAACAGAAACGGTAAAAAGAATTTTCTTATAAATAACCTGTTTAAAAATTTACGTACGTGTACGCTTTACAGAGGTATGTTGGCTTGGCTGCCAAGAAGAAAGTGCAAATTGAACGTCACTTAATTTTCTTAAGTAATGTAGGTAGAATATGTAATAGTATAAAAAAAACAACCCTAGAATAATGCTATAAATAGAGGTAGCATGATGGGCAAAAAACAAAGATTATTTTTGAGACTGAAGTTACCTTCTTCTGCTTACGCAAACTGATGCACATACACTTATTTTTACTGATAGTAATCACAAGGTTTGCTTGGATTTCTTCCCAGAAGAGGTAGAGAAATCCTTCTCATGATCTTGTTCGTACCAGGAAACAGAGCTTTCAAGACTGTTGTGAACTCGAGGCTTGCATGAGACCTAATGTTGGCACGTTATTAACCCAGCACATGATAGTTGGCACGTTATTAACCCAGCACATGATAGCTGTGCATCTATTCATAATTGTCTTCGCTGTCGTGCAGCCTTTTTATTTGATTGGGGTAAGATTGACAAAAAAAATGGATTTAGCAACTTGGTAATTTAAAAAAACTCCCACCACTGTAATGAAAGAAATAGCACCCCTAAACCCACACAGGACCTTAGAGGCTGATTCTCAACTGTCTCTGGATATTCCTGTACGTTTTTCACTAAATCATAACTCAAATTGAAAGAATATTTATGTGGGGATCAGAGTATTCTCAATAACTTTTTTGGGACAGGTTTATAATATTTAATTTTGGGTAACTGATGAAGGAATGTAGGAAACTACCTGAGGTGTCCTATGTGTGCACCTTAAGAAGTTGTATTTTACATGTGAGCATGAGCACTATGAAACACTGAAGTGGAAAATAGCAGTTTGGGGAAACTAGTGGAAAAGATTCCATAAACAACAGCCAGAGAATAAGATGGAATAGAGTTTCTGGTATATTATGCGAAGGAAGGCTTTTATACAAGAAAAAGGTGGAGCTGTGGCAGTACTGTAGGGGAAGGGACAAAATAATTGCAAATAGAATGCTAGAGGTAAGATGACTTACTAGTTTGTGTAAGCAAGTCAACAGAATGTGAAGAAGGTTGGGGAAAAAGGTGTTTTGGATAATCTTTAGTTGGGAGAGTAGAAAACAGAATCGTCTTGGAAGATAATTACAGTATTTAGGTAGTAGCAATTGAGAAAGAACTTAATAGCTGCTTGGAAAACAGGGGGTTTTATTTGGATACTAGTATATTGAAAATGATGTTGTGATTCAGCTGCCCTAAACGGAACTTTATTTGTATTGGAGAGGATTGTGGGGTGATTTGAAAAAAGAGGTAACAGATTTTGTTTTGAATAAAGTGAATTTTAAGTAGATTGTTATGTTCTGTGATAGTTTAATCTGGCAGGGCTGTAAATTGTCATTGTTTTCCACTTAATAAAAATTGGTTGGGAGCAGAAGGCGCTGGTGGTTGGTAGCATAGCTTGGGATTAATGAAGCCATAAAGTTTGCATGAAATGCTGTGACTATATTGATGCTAGGTTAAAACTTCATGGTGCGTGGCTTTCTGTCAAACAGGAACGAAGACCTTTCCTTGCATCGGAGTGTAATGAATTGCCTAAAGCTGAGAAATGGAGGCGACAGGTAATGTCAAGCTATAGATTTTTTCCAATTTTGTGGTAGGTAGAACTTCAGTGCTTCCTATTTAGACAGCCTGCTTACAAATATTTTTCAGACTCCTTCAGTGTGCTGACAGTTAAATCACAGAACAATTTAGATTAGAAGGTCATACAGTTTGCCACAGTGTTCAAAGCAGGTCCCACCACATCAGGTTGCTTGGGGCCATGTGCAGCTGAGTTTTGAATATCTTCAGGGATTTGGATTCCACAGCTTTCTAGAGTGCCTGTTTTGGCCCGTTTGTTTTTCATAAAAAAAAATAAAAAAAAATAAAATTATTACACACCCACCCCCCCAATTTAATCAGAATTTCCTCCATTCCAACTTGTATTTGCTGCTACTTGTCCTACTGTTATGTACCTCTTGAGCAGTCTGGCTGTCTTCTCTAATACCCTTCACTAGGTAGTTAAAGACAGCAATAGGTTATTCCCTTTTTGCCTTCTTTTAAGGCAGGTCAAACCTGGTTCTCTCTCAGCCTTTCTCTGTATGTCGTGTGCTCCTGCCCTCATCACATGTACAGCTGTAAAAACATTTCCTTGTTTTGTAAGCTCTGAGGTACTGTATTTGTGTCTGAATAAAATCTGTGTTGATAGTTGAAATTGGTAGGCTCAGGTCCATTTTCTAGATCAAAAAGCCAAGTTAAAGGTGGATCTTTGTAAGGTTGTCTTTAGCTTTTGTTCTAGGTTTTTTTGGTTTTGTTTTTTTTTTTTTTTGAGAAATTAACTTCTGTGTTCTTATTTAACTAGATCATTGGGGAAATTTCCAAGAAGGTGGCACAGATTCAAAATGGTAAGGTTTTCCTAATTATGTTTTTTTTTTTTGAATCTCCAGTCCTGAGCAGTTACAGTAAAAATCTCATTTTATGTGAACTATACTGTTTCCATTGCATAAATTCTGAAATCACATTCTTCTAGTAAGCTGCCTAATTTATTTCCTTTTTTCCCCCTCTAACAGCTGGATTGGGTGAATTCAGAATTCGGGACCTGAATGATGAAATAAACAAACTTCTGAGGGAGAAAGGACACTGGGAATTCAGAATAAAGGAGCTAGGAGGTCCTGATTATGCTGTAAGTGTAGGTTATTTGGTACTATGTGGTTGTTCTGCTTACAAGTAAAGTGACTAATGAGAAAAATCTGTGCAATGTTTAGTTAACCATGTATTATTTGGCCAATATTTATTAAAGAGGAACTTTATTCAGCCCCTAAAAATGTTAGGCTGTGCTAGAATAAATATTTGTTTCTGTGTCAAGCAAATAAGACTCTTCATTTGGAACACCAGTTCGAGGGGTCTTGCCTTCCTGTTAAAGAGTTTGCAGCAACGGTCTGATTTTACCTGTCAGTAGGTGATGTACTCTTACCAGTCTGTAGAAGGGTTCTCACTTGACTCACCTAGTTACTGCTGAAAATGAAATAATGACGCCAGCTCTCTTGCCAAAACATCAAAGTATGCTTATTGTCAAATTTAGTAGTGCTTGTTTGTCTGATACCTGAATGTACAAGTAAAGAGAATAAGACATGTTTAGATATTTTGTGAAGGTTAACCCGGTATGGGCACTCTGTGGTTTCTGTGGTCATGTTAAATGTGTGATTTTTAGTAAAAGTAGAGAACCTGTATAAAAATGAGCTACAAGGGCGTTTTACTTGTGAGGTAGTTCGAACTGGTATAGCATATCTCCTTTCTCAATCCTTTAATCTATTATAAGATGCCCAGGAAATACAAGATGCAAGACAAATAAGATTGTTTACAATGAACTCTGTTTACTTTCCAGCGGATTGGACCAAAAATGTTAGATCATGAAGGGAAAGAAGTTCCAGGAAACAGAGGTTACAAGTATTTTGGAGCTGCAAAGGATTTACCAGGAGTTAGAGAACTTTTTGAAAAGGAACGTAAGTAAATAGCAACTCTTCCCAGACATGAATCTTCAATATCTTCAGATCAGTAGTATATCTTGAGTAGAATGCCTGCTGTAGTATGTGGGGAATGCTAGCAGCAGCATATTCTGGCCTGCGTATTAGAGGAGCTAAATGAAACACTGAATGCAAGTAATTAATTAAATGCTATTTGTTTGGGCAAAGAACACCTTTGGCTATTTGCAATTGAAGAAATGTAGAAAAGAATAAGGTCTGTTTTCTGCTAGGAGTTCCAAATGATAAGGACTGGTGTTCTATAGAAGCTTTCCAGCGTAACAGGTTAACTTTATTGGTAAGTTCTGAATAGTCCTCTGAGTTCAGAACTTAAAATAAATACAAAAGGAAGTTGGCTTGAACATCATTGTAGAAGCAGGAATCGCCTTTCGTAATAGGAAAAACTGGATGAAAGTGGATAAAGCTTTATATATTGATTTATCATAGAATGAATGGGAATTACTTGGACCTGAAAGCGAGGCAGGCCTACTGAATCAGCTCTTTCTTACTTGCCATCTGCAAAGAAAAATGGTGGGAAGTACTACATGGTCTGAGGGAGCTTGGGATGGTGCTTTAGTTCCTTTCATATAGTGGCATTGCTCAGTACTGAGACTCCAGTATGGAGGGAAAACCAACTGCATGCATGACAGTGTAGAATTGCCACAGGGTGGGAACTGTGCGATAAGAAGCGTCAGGTCGTGTATTCAAACTGATTTGTGTGGGCCAGAGTGAAATACCAGTACTCCTGATACTGACAGCAGCTCAGATCACGCGTTGGTTATTAGCTTATAGCTGTCATTGCGGTGAGGTTGACAGGAACCGGGAATGCACAGCAAGCTATCGAGGTGGAGCTGGGTGAATGACGGTTATGTGTTCTTTCAGCCCTCCCGCCACCTCGGAAAACTCGAGCTGAGCTTATGAAGGCCATTGATGCAGAATACTATGGCTACAGGGATGAAGATGATGGCATTCTGGAGCCACTGGAACAAGAACATGAAAGGAAAGGTATGTGAGATTCAAAACCTGCATAAATCAGTCCAAGAAGGGGTGATGATGGACTCTGAAGTTAAGAGATCTTTTTTCTTTTTTTTTTTTTTTTTCCCCTGCAAGTGTTGTCTTATGCTTAGCTATCAGATTTCACCTCTCACGTAGGTATCCAGATCACTATTGTCTCAGGCGTTTCAGGGGTGAGGGAGTGTGCTTTAGAGTTCGCTTTCATTTTTACTACTGTTAATGACTTAGTATTGTTGACAAGTGATTCGCTACTGAAGCAAAATCTCCTTTTCCCCCTGCACCTCTTCATGCTTAAGAATGTAAGAGTCAGTCCTAGCAGGGAGATCTATGGAACTCTAGTGGTTATCTCCCTCCTTTGTGAAAACTGACCATGCCATCTGTTTCCTGTCTCACCTAATTATTTATCCATAAACATAGCTGTTTAGTTTTCCTGGAGATTAGAGGGGACCTTTTGGAAACCCTGAAGTATAGGTGGCCTACATTAATTTATCCACGTCATCTATCTTGGAACTTCAATGCATTTATGAATCTTTTTTCCTTTGAAACCCATACTTTCTCAGTAGGTAATATTTATCCATGTGTCTGCTCACTTAGTTCTCTTGTCTTGTTTCTACTGACTTGTCCAGTAAAGACACCATGATTATGAGTCTTAATTCCTGAAACCCCCTTTAAAATTCAGCACCGTGTGTAATCTTCTGGTACTTGTGTAGCTTTAAGCGTGAGGCCACCCACCACCTTTAAGAGCTTAGCTATTTTCTAAGTAGTTCTTTCAGTGCTTCTGGTGAACATGGTCTGATCCTGGCGTTTGTTGCTCTTTGCATTGTGTGTTTGTTTTATAATCTCTTCTTCTGAAGCTTCAGCTGCAGGCAGATCCTCAATGCTCTGTGGGAAATGTCCTGGTTCAGGAGCCCTGGGCAGGCTTTTCCACAGAACAGAGCAGATAAGACAATCAGGTTTTGCTTGAATGTGTGCAATTATCTGTCTGGAATTAGAGAGAAAAACTTTAAACAAAACTGCAGGAAGTGACTTATTAAATGATTATAAGTTGTCGAGCTTGTAACCATTATCAATGCTTAGTATCTCTTGGTGTGATCATCCACTTATATTTACCCCTTCTCCATGCGTGAGATCTTCGTAGTATTGTGTGCTGGAGATCGTGCTGTGTCGGTTAGATTATAGGAGAGGGAGGGAGAGGGGAATAATGGAAATCTTCACTTACCTGTGTCCTGCAGCGTAGCTTAGAGCCTTAAACCAAGCAAACAGTAGCTGGCTGGCAGACGTTTGGTAGCGTAAGAACGGAAGTTGTATGGTGCAGCACTCCCAGAAAGGCATCCCAGAGGATGCCAGAAAGGATCCCAGATCCTGGGAAGAGGTAAGGATCCCAGAAATGCATCTTGCACACCTTGCAACTTGCAGACAGGAGAGGTAGCTCATCTGGATTCATATGGTTATTTAAGAAAATTATCTTTGGTGCCACTTGAAATATCAAGGCTAGAGATGCTAACAGAACAATTAGTGTACTATTAATGAACAATTAGTGTACTATTAATGAACAATTAGCGCACAATAGCTAAGATTCTTCTAGGGTCACTTGTCTAGGCTCTTGTAGTTTTTACCTTGTTACCAGAAGAGTTATATTATTATGAAGCAAAGTACTGAAAAAACATCTTAGTTTGGTGCACCTTTTCTGTTAAAAAACCACTCAAAAATGCAGCTGTGTGCCACTAGTTAGATTTTGCTTTCTCGGGGAGAGTATTTTAATGTTTAATCTTTGAGAGCTGGGGGGATGGCTGCTGGCCTCCATAGTTGTAGGCATTTCCTACTGCCTAGCTGCATTAATTGTGCAGCTCCCTAGGATTTTTGTTTACTGTTGATGTCACTGATTAAGCTTCTTAAAACTTGTTTTAGCGCTCTTACTAGCACTCTGCTATGCAGCAGAGATACAGCAGCCTAACAGCTCTTAGCTAGCAGTGAGTTACAGAATTGGAATTGTGCTACAAAATAAGAGAAATATGCTATGAGACAAAAAGTAAGAGACTTACATGGCTGGTCATTTGAAGGAGCGCAATTGTGTTTAATTACACAGTGATCAATGTTCCTATAGCTGTTGACATGCTACAGAGCTGTAAGAGCCACATGGCCTGGTTGTGTAGCCTCCTGTTACTCAGTTCAGAAAGTAGGTTGATATTTATCCATGACATTTAGAGTCTAAAATGTACCCACATTAAGGCATAAGCAAGTACCACACTTTCAAAATGCTAGCACTGGGTTTTGCTCAGACTATGGTGGTATATTTTATTACATACTACATCAAGGTTCCACAGTAAGTGTGTGTTACCGATGTAGAGGATTTAAGCAAAAAGTTTAAGTCTGTTGGAAAAGCTTTGGAAATAGGAGACAAATCAAGGGGGCTGTAACTTCAGTTGCTGCCTAACTGCTGTCAAGGAAACTGGGGATTCAGCTGGACCGTGCTGCTTTAACTTGCTCTAAGATACACTTGCCATTTTCCTTTGCTAACCAGTTATAGCAGAAGCAGTGGAAAAATGGAAAAAGGAGAGAGAAGCCCGACTTGCGAGAGGGGAGGAGGACGAGGAGGAGGAAGTAAATATCTATGCTGTCAATGATGATGAGGTATGTGATGGCTAAGGTGATGTAACATTTCATGTGTCTTCTATGCTGCTGCCTTGGAGGTAGAGTTACTTTGCCAAGAATCTGTTTGCTGCTGCATTCTGCCCTTCTCTCTGCCTAACTTACTATGCAGTCGTCCCTGTTTAGTAAAAATCAGTAGTAGATGGGTACAGTCAGTCCAAGTTTAGAGAGCAACAAAAGCTGGCAGCTAGGGGAGAATTCTTGCTCGAGTGAGGAGCAACGAACAGCTGAGACCATGTTGATTTAACTGTCACTGCCTGGAATGCTGGTATTTGTAAGGTAGCATATTGTTAACTGAACAACGATTGCTCTTGCTTCTAAGTACAATCCACATCAGTAACAGCACACGTAGCTTTGTATACAGTATAATTTCAAACCAGAGGTTGCCAGGCTCTTGTTTGTTGAATTTTTGTTGGTTGAATCCTGACACAGCAAGGCTTTGCTGATGCTGCAGTCACTGCTGTGACATGGCTCCTACTTCTTTATTCTCCCTGCTCCCAGCGCCAGTAAGGGAAGTGAGGGATGTTTCCTGTGCTCTTAGAGACCTGTAGGAGTGGTACTGGAAATGAGTCCTTATTTTGCAGTCCATACTGACGTGGGTTTATCATAAGAATAAAAGGGAGGTAGTCCATAAGGTAAAACTGGTGGTTCCTTCAGTACCCTGTTTTATTTGTATTATCTCACGATTCATAAGCCGAGCTCTTCGGGTGTGACAAAGCAGCAGTGCAGTGCTATACAAGGATGTGGTACATATATTTTTAAGGTACTTGCTAGCTTCTTGGTTCACTAGCTCCTCTCTTGTTTATAGCTTTGCTATGGCAGCTAGAGAGATATGGGAGAGGAGGGAATATAGCTTTACATTCATGCTACAGCAGAGGAAAAGCCATACGGAGAATGAAAGTCACAGTCCTGAAAATGTCAAGGAGCAGGATCTGAACATGATGCTTGTCATATGCCTTCGTTGTTTGGTTTGATATACCTAGTTCTTGCATTTGTAGTGCTGATCATTCTCTATCTGGTTCCTTCTGGCAGAGCAAGTAAAAAAGGTGGTTTTAATGACCCCTTCAGAAGGTGAACTTGATGTGGCCTTTTTTTTTTTTTGTTTGTTTGTTTTCAGTCTGATGAGGAAGGTGGCAAGGAAAAAGAAGGTGAAGAAGGCCAACAGAAGTTTATTGCACATGTTCCAGTGCCATCTCAGCAGGAGGTAAGCCAGAAGAAAACTAAGTTGCAGAATTGTACTCTGGATTTGCGAGATAGAGATTTTAACTTGTGGCAGGTCATCATTAAAAACATTCTTGATCTGTTATTTGTGACTTGACTCTGCAGCTGTTTAATCCTCTTGCAAATGGTCTGGAACTGGCCAGAATTATGGTACCATTGCTATAACCCTTTTCATCTGAGAATTTCCAAAACCTTCATAAGTATTACATAAATTGGAAAGTATTAGAGTGTTATGATCAAGATAAACCCTGATTGCCCACTATATCTTCGCTGTGTTTTTCTGCTGATGGTCTAACTTTTTTTTTAATTTAATGGGATGATTTCTCAATTGCAGGGTTTGATCTCACATGTTTTCTAAAGTTATTTTGGTGGCGTGACCTTGGATTGATTTATTATATTTTGAAACTGCTCTAGGGTATATATTACTTTAATATTGACAGGTTGTTTGAAATATAATTCAGGCAAGAAGGTTCTGGAGTTATGTATCTTTTGGTAGGTATGTATGCCTTTGTCACACAGGTAGCATGTAGCTGTCATATTGCCAGATAACAACATTGTATTCTGCTGTGAAGTCATGATCCTGCACATTCAACAAAATACATGTCATGGCTTGTCAAACTGCAGGAGAGAAATAATGATTAAAACACTGATCTCTGGCCGATGGTATTCTCTTAATGAAGAGAGTATAAGTGAGAGTCAAAACTGGGTTCCTAATACATAACCACTCATTTACATAGAAATCTCTTCTAATGAGACAGTAGTTAGCGTAGTCTTTGCTTTTTTTTAGTGGCAAATCACGGCATACCTTGTGCCTATGGGATGATGCCTTCTAGATTCTAAATTACAAAAGGTTCAGAGGAATTATTTTTGAAATATACTGTGTGTGATATAGACAAATATAAAATCATTACTGAGATTAAAACAAGTTTTGCAGGTTGCTAGTAGTAGATCTTTAAAGTACGTGCTTGTTAAAGAATGGGGTATTGTTGGCACTTCCAGACAAAATTCAGGTAAGAGTTTCATAGCCATCGCTAATGTGAAAGGCACCCTCAGCAAACTGTTATTTCATGGGTGCAGACTAGCATGGCATAACTCTACTTGTCTGCATTTGTTGGAGCCATGTCTGAGACAATTGTTTGAAACAAAATTCAAGTGACTGTACTGAGTAAAATAAAATTGCAGCTAATGTCCTAATTAAAAAGGGTAGGAGCAGAGATCTAAAACAGAGGCATCTATTTTACTGCTGGTTTTGATTTCCACGAGCTTCAGCTGAGTGTTTAAAAAAGATACTCCTGACTCATCTTAATTTGACTGGTTTTACACTAGTACACACCTCTAACTTTCACAGTCTGTTTCGTGTGGCTTTATTCTTCCCATCTTAATAGCTAAGCATGCTATGTTTCAGCATCTCAATTAAGCTGAATGTCATCCTATTTTTGTATTTGTAGATTGAGGAAGCTCTTGTACGGAGGAAGAAGATGGAGCTTCTTCAGAAGTATGCCAGTGAAACCCTCATGGCACAGAGTGAAGAAGCAAAAACACTTTTAGGATTGTAACATCGCACCAGGTTTTTGTATAATCCATCTCAAAGCAACAGGTTCATGTATTCTGGTAGCAATCACTTTTAGCTCTCCAAGTCCTTTTGGATGTTAGAGTAAACTGATGAAGTCAGTGTGTTCTGTAGAAGGGAAACCATTGTTTTGCTTTACCCACTGAAATGACTTGCATTTCAGCACTGAAAAAGATCAAACTTGTCTCTACACCTTCAGCAACTGTCTTCAGTCCTTCCACTTTGTGAAACAGCCTGTGCAGTGGTGCCTCTTGCGATAGAACCGCAAACCCAGTCACTCCTAAAATCCTGAAGGAAAACTGACTGATGTTACCACCATTCTGTCTTCTGTATCCTGACTGTAAGCATGCACATCTTTCTCACGTTGATTTTTGCTGACCTGAGTCCCAAACTAACTTTGTTATGCCTGGTTAGTTTACCAGAACAGCCTAAAGCCAGTTTAGAGATACCTTGGTGGCAAATGTTATGCATGACTTTGAAGTTGATTTAGTTCTTTTATATAACACATGCAGTATGTCTAAAAACTGTTACCCTTTTTGTGGTTTGTAACCATGCCTGGGTGAATTACTTAAATGCTGGATATTCCAGCAACTATTGTAAATACTTCCAACTTTGCAACACCTTCTTCAAATATTTTTAGTAAAACTTATTTACAACCTGATGTCTTGTTTCATTCTAGCTCGAAGGATTGTGTTGCTTCCCTACTCGTAGCCAAAGAATGGGATTGTAAGAGCCATCCATGTAGGGATTTGAAGTTGTGCATCCCCTACAGCTCTTAGCTTGCGTATCCTGTGACCAGTGGCAGCTTACAGCAGAGCCTGTTCAGAGTGTCGCAGGTGACTAACATTGTTATATGGGTCTGAATGAATGAAACTTTAAATTGTGCATCTGCAGCCATGGAGAGTAGGAGTGCTATCTGAGGAATATAGTATTTAACAAACAAGTAACTGTGTTGGGGACTGTTTAGAGTTTCTGGATACTCTTAGTGTTCAGGTCTGTCTATTGTAACTAATCTGCTCCAGGACAATCGAAGCTCTAAATTACAGAGGCAAGCTTTGTCTTACTTGATGTAAATGATTAAACAAAAAAAAGCCCTTGAAAAAGTGGGAAGCATAGCTGCAAAATTCAACTCTTAAAAAGAGAGAATAAATCAAAACCTCAAGTATTGATAGCAAGCAGACAACATTACAAACACAACCTTCTCTCTTCCTGCTAGCAGTGTAGCTTTCTCTGCTTTGTAATAAAGCAGCAAACAGGTATGTTTATGACTTGTAATAATTTGTGTGTGCCGAGTTGCAGGCACCTATCCAAAGTTGAGTTTAGTTTTTGCTGCTGCCCCTTGGGTGTTTTCTGCTCTTGCGTTTAGAGAAGGTGATGTGCTTTTATCCACGTGCTGTTTGTATTGCTGTAGAACAGAACACTGTTTCCCAGAGTTCCTTCTCTGAAACCTCTGGTCACCAAGAATGAAAAAATAGGCTCCTTTCATGCTGGATGTGCTCACAGGTTTATGGTCTAGCAGTACTGCATCAAGACTAGCATACTTCACCTGTGGAAAAGGTTAGTATGTGAAGGATAAAGGCTTCATTGCTGGGTACTAAGCCACTGACTGAGTTCCGAGCTTAATAAATTGGCAGGCAGTCTATTAAGGCCTTGTCATGCTCCAGGAGAGTTGGTCACCAAACATGTATGACATACGGGGGGGAACACACAACACCAATAAAAAAAAAAAAATAGACCTTGGGCTTGCCAAAAAGGCATTTAGAGTTAAAGCTCTGTTGTGAACAGCCCTTTGCCAACCATGCTTCTGCTAAACTGTGAGGTTTTTTCTTTTCTTTTTTTTTTCTTTTTTATTTTATTCAGTACAAGAACTGTTTTTCTTCTAGAACAGTGCTTGGAATAGTTTTTATGGCCTGGTACAGTCTGTGAGTTTGATAATACCTGTGGTTGATCCCTTCTGTCATTGTATGAATCTGTAACATAGAAGATGGGAAAAAAAGAAAGGTGAAGACAGATCAGGGACCGAGTGATAATGACAGAAGGTATAAAAAAAAGAATAAAAGCTAAAAATGAGAGAAAATGGAGACAGGATAGTAATTGGATTCAGGTTCAAAGGAGTAGCCAGCAGCCCTGAGCAAGACCAATGCAATGAGGTAAATAGAGAAGTCTTTTAAGGCAGTGCTGATCTCTGCTGACCAGCGCAGAAATGGAATAAACCTACAAAAATGCAATATGGAACTGCAGTGCAAACTGTGGCTGCTGCTTGAACCCACTGTACTAAATATTTGCTCCGAGTGCAAGCATTTTTAAGCTGAGTGCTCTTTTTAGCCAACACACTGCAGAGTAATTGTTCACCAGCCATGGCCTGTAGCAAGATGCTCATGTTCTGCTTGCTGTACAGGCTGCTAACGTGTTGGTGGAGTTAGGACTGGGGAGCTTCCATAGCCAAAGCTGGGGAACTCATCTTGTAGTTTGTCCGAGAGAATGAAACTGTGCATAGGCTCTGCATTAATTTTTACCCTGAGCGTGCAGCTATACTGAGGCATATGGATGGTGTGGGGCTCGTGGCTTGTACCATCTGTATAACTCCTCAGATGTGTCTGGGCTATAAAATAAACATCGTTCTATACATGCTAACAGGTAGCTTGTTCTCTTGTCTGTCTTAGGGTTGGTTCTGTGCTGTGCATGATCCTGGCTTGAGCTCTGAGGGGACAACCTCCCCAACTGTTTTGTTCTCTGCATCGATTTTTGGCTTGCTTTTCTCTTTTAGAAATGCAGTCAGTTCTGTTTCGTTAAATGCCAGCCTCACAAGTGGTGCAGGTTGAAAGAGACCTTCCTTAATCTTTGTCTGGGTGAGTGCAATGCAACTGCTGGAGGATCAGTTTCCCCCTGGAGTCAGAGAGGGTGGTGAGGAGTATTTTTTGGGGAAGTACTAGGAAATAAGTGGGTTTACCTAATCTGTGTGAACAGATGAGCAAAGCGAAGAGATAGCAGTAGTTAATAGACAGCTATTTTGTGCTTGTTTTCTCACTTTCAAGTCTAGTTGCTGGGAAATGCCTTTGTGATAACAGATCCTGTGTCTAAGATGGCGCTATGTTTGTGCATAGATTCATGATGTGCTTTTTTTTTTTAAACGGCATTGATGCCTGAAGAACCAGAAAGAATGCCTGGTATGTTATTAAAGAAAGAATGAGTTAGTGCCTCGGTAGGAATTCCGTGCTGCTCCCCTTCTCCTTGCTGCTGAGGAGGTGCCACCGCCTGAGGAGGGCTCGCTGCCTGCCCTCAGCCCTCTTCCCGCGGTGCTGCCGGCTCCGGCCGGGCTCCGCGCTGTAAAACGCAGGCACAAGCCGGGTTTTGCGCTGCCAGCCCGCTTCCTCCGCGGCTGACGTTAGCCCTGCGAGGGAGGGGATGGTCGTTTCCGCTGTTACGGCCCGTGACTTGCGTTTGACGTTGCCTGATGAGGTAACCCCTGGACGCAGC